ATATAATATAATATAATAATTAAATTACATTTCCTTGAGATTTTTTATTTACTCTTTTTATGGTAAAGGTAAACCTAAAGGTTTTATCACATCCAGATTCTGACAACCTGGAACATTTTCTCATGTCTCCCCCTGAACCAGAGAACACAGGGTTCAAAGTATTTGCCAGGAACTGTTCTCCTGTTGAGAGTTTTCCCCGGGCATCAGGATGTGTTTTTTCTGTGCCAATGAAAAAAATATTAAACTAAAAAGAGGATATAGATTTTTTTAAAGTATTTTCCTTAATATATTGTTTAAAACAAAGAGTTCAGGGGATGCATAGATCCAACAGAGCAGACAGGAACTTGACTGAACACAGCTTGTAGAAAATATGTTCTTACTTGTTATTGAAAAATTTAGAAAGATAAAAAAAATATTTTAAATGTTTATTAAAAATGCAGATGTTAATGAATTATCCTGATTGACATCTTTAAATAACCCAAATAATAACAGCAACGCAGTTGATTTGGGTGTAATGTCATTCCTAGATGTGCTTTCTGGTTTTTTAGTCTAATAAAACATGAACAACCGTGTTGGTCTGGATGTGTTTGTTTCCATGGTTTGTTGGTTCTTTTCAGTGTGGAGCACTTATTTTTTCTTCCAGCTCGCTCAAAGAGCTCTTTGTATGAGACACAAAGAACACTGTAAATCTTTTTTTTTTTTTTTTGTGGTTGTTGCCTTTTGAGTCATGTTGTTCTTTGTTGTCTCTTACATAACCTATTGATGAACATTAGTTATAGAAAACAAAAGTAGATGACATTCTTGGCACACCTTTGTTTTTTTTGTTTTTTTTTTTTTCTAAAGGCAGTTCAATTTAACCTTTTCAAGAACAAGTTCTTGTTAATGGTGGGGATCATTGGGTTTCATGAACTTACGGTAATCTTTTTAAATACCCATTATAGCATGTAGGAGTTGGATTTTGAATAAAGATGCACAAAGTAATTAAACTTTTACCACTGCTGCTTTGAGATTTTAGCGCTTCCCATGTAGTTGTGTCCCAGTGGTCAACAGATGGTCTAGACACCATGAACTTAAAGCTAGACTTCGATTAAATCAACTGCTATATAGATGGAAAAAATTGATCCGGTTCATCTTTGTTTATGGGTCAAAGAGGTCTTCTTCAAGGAAAAACGGAGTCCCTTATTTCCAGGAAATGTTTTACAGGTTAGACAGCTCCAATCTGAAGTGTTTGCCATCAAGGCCAAAAGGCTCTAGAAGGGACTGATAAGCCTGAAAACAAATACATCTGTAGGCCTGTGAGAAGTTACAAACTAACTCTTGGATAAACTTTAGCAGGCTGGTTAGAGTAGGTCAGACCAGAATTCTTTAAAATCGTTCTAACCTGTAACTATTTCAATTCAGTTCAATTCATTTATATAGCACCAAATCACAACATATGTTGTCTCAATGCACATGAAAAAAGAACAATCTAAAGAAGAAGCCAGCAGATTGTGTTGAATCACTTCATCACAGTCTCCCATCCTGAGCAAACGGTGGAGAGGAAAAACTCCCTGCTAATCAGGAAGAAACCTCCAGCAGAACCAGGCTCAGGACAGGCGGCCATCTGCCTCGACCGGCTGGGTTGGGGGACAGGAAAGAGACACAGCCAAACACAGAAGAACTGGTCCTTCTTCTAAGAAAGAGACAAAAAGAAAAAAAGAAAAAACATGTTATTGATAGAAATAATTACAATAAACATGTAGAGAAGAGAGATTAAAGACAACAGCAGAGTGAAGAAATGTGCTCAGTTTGTGCTCCAGCAGTCTAAGTCTATAGCAGCAGAAATGAGAAATAATTCAAGAAACCTAAGTCTAATTATAGGATTTATCAAAAAGGAAAGTCTTCAGTCTAATCTTAAAAGTAGACAGAGTGTCAGTTTCACGGACAGAAACTGGAAGTTGGTTCCATAAGAGAGGAGCTTGATAACTGAAAGCTCTGCCTCCCTACTTTTAGAAACTCGAGGAACCACAAGTAAACCTGCAGTCTGAGAGCGAAGTGCTCTGTTAGGAAAGCATAGAACAATAAGATGTTTAATATATGATGGAGCTTGGTTGTTAAGAGCTTTGAATGTTAGGAGTAATATTTTAAATTCTATTCTGAATTTGACAGGGAGCCAGTGGAGAGAAGCTAAAACTGGAGAAATATGGTCTCTCCTTCCAACTCTTATTAAAACTCTAGCAGCAGCATTTTGGATTAACTGAAGACTTCTTAAAGAGTTTTTTTTTTTTTTTGGATGCCCAGATAATAAAGAATTGCAGTAATCCAGCCTAGACATGATAAATGCATGAATCAGTTTTTCTGCATCATTTTTGGTCAAAATATTTCTAATTTTAGTGATATTACGTAGGTGGAAGTAGGCGGTCCTGGTAACATTTTTAATGTGGGGGTTAAAAGACATATCCTGATCAAAAACGACACCGAGTTTCTTTACATTAGAACTGGGAGCCAGAATAATGCCATCCAGAGAAGGTGAAAGGCTGCAAAGTTGATCCCTAAGATGCTCAGGTCCAAAAACCAGAACCTCTGTCTTATCTGAGTTTAGAAGCAGAAAGTTGAGTCATCCATGTTTTTCCTCTTTCTTTTATTACTTTTAGGAATTTCTTGTAACTTACAAACATCCAGGCAGAGTTAAGGAAGAAGGACTTGGTGCCATCTCTCTGTGAAGTCTCCACCCTGAAAATCCCAAAAAGCCAAATTTTCACCACGTCTCGCCCTGCCTTGTCCCCCAAGATGCCAAAGGTTCGTGAATTAATGGAGCTTCAAAGGGTCCCCACGGAGGATGATGATGACAGCACCGCCAGCCTGAACGGCCACTTCAGAGATCCCATGGACTCGGAAAAGGGAACCCTGAACAGGTCAAGAAAGTAAATTAAAGCATTATAGCTTCAAAATGACAAACCATCATTTTTGCTCATGCTTCTGACTATATTCTTGTTCTTTGCTGCAGCCATTTTGTGGACGATAATGAAGACGGAGAAGACCACCAGTTCCTGTCGAATGGTTTACCAATGAAGAAGAAATATGAGGAAGAAGATGTAAGATCAATGATGTTAAGGTTATCGATCAACAGACTGTAAAAGCAGATTGCAGATTCCGATTAATCTGAATTTTCCTCACACAGTTTCCTGGCCATGCTTCCTTTGGCATGTCTGTCTTTAATCTGAGCAATGCCATTATGGGCAGTGGGATTCTGGGCCTGTCCTTCGCCATGGCAAACACTGGCATCGTTCTCTTTACGTAAGTCTAGAATAACAGAGACTCGGCATGAATGTTTATTCATGGGACTCTTTAGCTGGTAAAGTTTGTCACTCTTGGTAGCTTAGCATTTAGCAACATGTAGTTTTGTGGTAACAAAGATCATGTTTGGATTTCTGATTCGTCTAGACTCAAAGAAAAGCTTTGGAGGATAAAACATTATGCTTAATATCTGGTCTGTAAAGAAATCTCACTTATGATCATCAGCTAGCTGGCCTTTAGCTACATCCCTACTATCCTTTGTCTAAATCGTGGATATTTTCCAACATCCCACTGTCACCCTGAATCTTTAGTAAAGCTCTAGATTTACTGGTCTGTCTGTGTTCCAACCCTCACCTGTGGTCATGAGGCGTGGATCCAGACCAAAAGAACGAGATCCCAGATACAAGCTTATGAAATTAGCTTCTTTTATAGGGTGGCTAGTCTCAACCTGAGAGATAGAAAGAAGAGCTCCGTCATACGAGGGGAGCTCGGAGTAGAGCCGCTGTTTAATCAGTTGGGCTGATTTGAGTATCTGATTATGATTCCTCCTGGACCCCTTCCAAAAGAAGTTTTACAGGCACATCCCACCAGTAGGAGGCCCCAGAACTTGCTGTAGCTCTTCTCTGGCCTGGGAATACCACAGGATTCCCTTAGGAGTAATTGTAGTTTTTCAGCATTGATTGGAACGCTACGAAAAATGTTGCAGCAGCTAAAGCCAACACCAGCAGTATTTTTCACTGTACTTCCAGTATCACCCTGCTGATCAGTGGAATGTCATTTTAAGAATCCTGCGACTCCATAGCACAGACATGACTCTGCATGGTTCACCATGCAACCTTGCTAAAATTGACAGGACAGGGTGTCCAATGCGTCCAAATGACATCTCTGAGCAGCTGCAGGGTGTCACTTCGCTGTAACTTCCTCTAATGAGAAGAAATAGTATGTTGAATTTCTAGGACAGCATCAAATCTTCTTGGATGAGCTTTTATTTTTACTTAATGTTTTTTATTCTTTTCTGTGTAGAATCCTCCTGATTGCTGTGGCCATCCTATCTTTATACTCTGTACACCTGCTCCTGCTGACGTCTAAAGAGGGAGGTCAGTATTCAAGTGAAGATCAGTTTTCTCCCAAGTGACCAATAAGAAGTTTTAAATTAGTGTTGCCCAAACTCAAGGGATGTGTTCCCTCTGCTAGTAGCTCATAAATAAATGTTCATATGTTAGTTTTTTATATATACAATGTGTGGTACTTTCATTGTCTTAGTCGATGGTTGATGTTTTTTTCTATTTTTTTAATTTGGTTTAGGATCCCTGATATATGAGACGCTGGGAGAGCGAGCCTTCGGTTGGCCAGGAAAAATGGCCGCCTTTATTTCGATAATCATGCAAAACATTGGAGGTAAATCTTAAATACGTGACCCTAATTTTGTTGTAAATTTATGCATTTTTAGAGAATATAATTCTTTTCTCGTCGTCTTTCAGCCATGTCCAGCTACCTCTTTATTGTGAAGTATGAGCTTCCAGAAGTCATCAGAACCTTCATGCACTTAGAAGAGAACTCTGGGTGAGCCTCTGTTCTCTTGAGCAGCTAAATGTACCACCTTGAGTTAATATTCCATTCCTGCAGTTTTAAACCTGTGTTATATTTGCAGGGAATGGTACCTGAATGGCAACTACCTGGTGGTCTTTGTGTCGGTCGGAGTCATTCTGCCGTTATCTCTCCTCAAAAACCTGGGTAAGACCACAGATTCTCTAAACTACATAAGCTGAGAGTGRTCATGAAAATGTATTTTCCTGATGATTCATTAAGCTGATGAACTTGATTTGTATCTAAAATCATTTGGCCCTTTTTTGCTTCCGTACTAAATATTGGTTTTGGTTTTACTGTCAAATATGAGCCCCCTGCATCTGAACCACTTGGCACTTCCATGTCCTTGCAGCTGTCCGTAGTCATCTTCACCAAACCAGATGTAACCTGACACCCAGTTTACATCTGACTACTCAAAGGGAAAGAATTCTTGGAGAACATTTTTACGGATCCTGAGAAGCTTATAACACTGAGTGTTTCTAACCTGGTGTCTTTCTTTTGAGGGACACGAAGGTTTGATTAAAACACAGTGTCTCTTTTGGGGAGAGTAAAGGGCCCACTTATGATTAGGGTTGGGCTATATTGGCAAAAACATTAATCACAATTAATTGTTGTATTTAGCCTATAACGATTAAATTGACGATTAATCCCCTGAAGTCCATGGACACCCTTATGTCCTAGTCACATGACCAATTTAGTGGGAAATATTTGCTCTTCATAAAAATCTGTTCCAAATTGTCAAAATTAAAGACTTCCGGCTATACATCAAATTTTAAATTGTGTTGATAGATAAATGAATTACAGAATTTTTTTTTAAATGTTAGTCATATTTGAAGCGGAGAGGAGCATTGAGCAGACCAACCAGGGAAATATCCAGTCAATCTGCCTGGTGGCATTAATCGTATTAATTGTCAAGTGCCAAAAAATAATCGATTAATGTTTTTCTGACGATTAATTGCACACGATATGATTATGCCCAACCCTACTTATGAGGCCTCCGCTCACATGGGTTTCGCCCATCCCCATATACCATAAACCATAACCATAACTTGACACTCGTCCAGACCTTAGTCAGCTCTAACGGTCAGGAGTTATAGGAACATAATCTTGGTATTAGGTCTGTGGTCAGCTCCACCACTCAGACAAAATTTATATACCTGCTGGTCAACTACCAGAGAAAACTATTAAAGAATAGTTGATGAACTTATTTAATGACAAAACATGCTTGCATTAAATTTTCTTTGTGACTATTAGATTTATACGTAAGTTTCGTCTTTTAGGCATAAATTTGTACGGAACAAGATCAGTGATTTTTTTTTTCACCGTGGCACTAGTTGTGTTCTGTATGAATGAAACTTGTTCAGAGAAGGGGGGGGGGNTTTTTATTTTATTTTTGTTTGTTTTGTTTTTAGTATTTCTTTTATTTAATTCCATTCTTGTGTTTGTTTGTTTTTTGTTTTTGTAGGTTACCTGGGCTACACCAGTGGATTTTCCTTGTCCTGCATGGTCTTTTTCCTGGCTGCAGTAAGTTCAGCTTTCAAGATGAATGCTAACACATTGCTAATTCATGGGTTAGCAGTCTTTGCATTGCTTTACCTGTTTTTAGATAGCTTGTTCATGTGCTTCTAGGACAGAAATCATGAAAAATATGATAGTCAACAAAAAAACAAGAGAAGGCTAGACAAATTTGACACGCAACTGCTAACTTAGCATGTTTGCTGTTTAGCAAAGGGGAGTTTTGACTGTAAATTATACGAGCTGTGTCTCCATTCTGGGGTTGCAGCCAACATAGAGTGCATTTGTCGGCTGCTTATGTCACTGCACCGCGCCGTGGGCTGTCCCAATTCGAAGGCGCCTACCCATGTGGCCGACAAAACCCAAAAAATGTAAGCTGCAACTGAGTATCCTATGTGGCTGACGATATCCCAGGATTCATTGTGCTATCAGCAAACTAAACAGAAAATAACTAAAAAAGAAAACAACGACAGTGTAGTTTGGAAATTTATCATGAACTGAATAATTTGTTTGTAAAGCTGGCATACACCTTAACACAAATCTATGTTTAGCAACTTAACTGATGATTTTTAAATGGTAAATGGACTGTACCAACCAGGATACTCAAAGCCCTTCACACTACAATCTGTGTCATCATTTACCCATTCACACAGCACTCTATTAGGTCTCTGCAAAGCTAACATGTACAATCATCTATGGAGACTAATCAGTGCTTTAAATCACATTCATAAATTGATGGGACACACATCAGAGGCATTAGGGTGAAGTATCTTGCCTGAGGACACAACAACTGAGGCAGCTGGAATAGGGGATCGAACCTTCAACCTACCGGTTCCAGGACAACTCCCCTAACCACTCTGCCGTGAAAACATGGCTATAGTGTTTAGCTAACTAAATTAACTTTCTGTTTTTGTAAGTAAATAAAGTAGCATATGGCCCATATATCACTAATGCTAAATAAATACACAACTGCTTGCCAGCATGGTTGCTGACAGTTTTGACAAAAAGCAAATCTAAAAGAAAAACGGTGGTCACCAAGTCATGAGAAACCCAACACAAATTCTATTTGCATTAGCTTTTTAGCAAAAGAAACAGCTCTGCTGCTCCTTAAGTTGCCAAAACTGACAATGCCTAAAGCTGGCAGTATGGTCGCTCAGCAGCTGACCGGACGACGTGCCGTCCTGTGGTTGTTCGGCGTTCGTTTTCGCACCCACCTTTCATAGCTCCTGAGACACCCCGCACCGAGCTCCTGGGAAACCCCTCCTGCTGCAGCATACAGCACTGCATGGGATTTCTTCCTGCTGAAGTCCACAATGCAGGGAAAAAAAAGTCTGAGACTCGTCACTCGACGTTTATCCACAAACTGGTTCAAGATTAAGCTCCAAATTTTTTATCAGTCAGATTCCATCGTGGGAAAACATCTGTTTTTATCCCCTATTTATGAGTTTTTGGCTGTTTGACTGTCTTTATAAATTGCCGTTTCCTGGTACAACAGTCGGCTCTAGAAGCGAGCTGGGTTTTTTTTTCTTTTTTCTTTTTTGAAGCGAGTTGTTGAAGCAAAATGCAGCGTCAGAGCGCTTTCAGCACAAACACTCCCACAAACTTCTGACCAATCACACAATAAAGTTCTTGTGTTCTTATGTGGAGGGGGGTAAAAAAGTTCGACCTGTGGGTCACGACAAGGAAGTGCTATGGTGCATGATTTTGTCATGAAACCGCGACAGTTTGGCACGATTTTGGCAGTTCGTATGCAGTATACTGCTTGCTTAACTTGTGTCTGTTTTGATTCATTTTGTTTTTCTTTCAGGTGATCTACAAGAAATCCCAGCTCCCCTGCCCTCTTCCCTTCTTTTACGGCCATTCGGCTAACCTCAGCATGAACTCCTCGGACATGTCGGGTCTGTACACACTGCCGAGCAACACCACTCAGATGGACTTTTCGCGGGCCGACGTTTCCTCGACTGTCCTCAGCGGACACAATGTTCATCAAACCGCAGGGGTCCACTATCAGCCCCACCCGAGCGACGAGGAGATGTGCACCCCCAAGTACTTTGTCTTTAACTCCCAGGTGAGACGGCAACAGACGTGGCATGCCTTGAGAAGTCCAAACTTGTATTAAGCCTGCTCTGGGTTCCATTTAAAGAAAATGTTGTGAAAACGAGCTTGTTTAATGTTTTCTACCAACCTAAATATGAAGTCAGAGGAAAAGTTAAGCACAGAAGCTGGGATTTAAAGAAACGAGCTGAAGCTTGAGTTTAGTAGAGGTGCAGAGAACTGCATGCTTATTCGGTGAACTCGCCAAGGCATGTTTTACAAAAGGTGGGGCTTTTAGGTGTGTGGGGGGCGGTTAGGGATTTGTGCCTGTGCCTGTATCATCATGAATCCTAATAAAAGTATGACAAGAAGCTTTAGATTCCCATGAGGCCAAAGGGTTAATTAAGGTAAACAGGGATTATACATTTCCCAGGTAAAGTAGCCATTTTACTTCAAAGTACCTAAAATATCGCTGCGAGAAAAAGAATGTTGACCAAAAAGTAAGACCAAAACTAAGAACATGCATAGAAATTAACTTGATTGCATGTTTTAAATATTTTCATTTAAAATGGAATACTTCAAATTATAGCAGGGTTACAGTTTGCAATAAAAATACAAGTTCCTTTTTTTTTTTGCCTTTTTTTACCCATCACTTGGACTTTTTTACGGCAACTTATTTATTATTTATTTATTCTAACATTCTTCTTCTTTTTTGTTATTGTTGTTGTTGTTATTGTTGTTATTGTTG